AAAATAAAAGATTTATAAAATTGACAGATCTTTAATGAAACTGATAAATAAAAAGAGAAGTAACAAATCATCCACATCAAAACAAGAGTCTATAACTGCAGGTGCTACAGACGTTAAAAAATTAAAAATATCACGAACAACTTTATGCCAATAAATTTGAAAATTTAGACAGCGGACAAATTATTAGAAAAATATTACTAACCAAAATTGCTTCAAGGAAAAAAAAGTAGAAAACTTGAAAATCCCATAAGCATAAAAGGACTTTAATTGGCAGCCATTCGTACAGTCCCACAAAGAAAACTCTAGGCTCAGCCGCTTCCCTGTCAAGTTGTATGAAGCATCTGAGGTGCAAAATATCCCTGTTTCACACACATGCTTCCAGGAAAGAGAACCAGCGGTCCACTCCACGTCCCAGCTGATTTCACGGGGCTCACCTAGCTGTTCTTACCAAAACCTGACAACGGAAGCAGAGAAAGGAAAATGACAGCCCGGCCTCAGCCATGAGTACAGATACAGAAATCCAAAGTGAACGATGACCGGCCTAAACCCAGCGCCATAAAAACAGGATAATTATCACGGCCAAGATGGGTTCATGTGTAGCATCAGAACTCAATTTAATCCACCACATTAACAGACTGAAGGAGAGAAGTACGTGATCAACTCAGTGAACGTAGGAAAAAGTATTGATAACATTTAACATCCCACTTATACTTGTAAAAAACTTAGCAAACTCGCATTAGAAATAGACTCCCTGAATGTGATAAAGGATATATGCCAAAAATAACCCACAGGGAACGTCAGAGTGGATCGCACACTCAAAGCACCCCCTTTCAGAATGAGACCGGGACAAGGGTGCTTGCTCAGCCCCTTCCACTCACTCACTATTCACCAGGTCGCCCGACCAGAGCCCCTGGATGTGAAAGAAACAAAGCGGTCCGGCGTGGAGGGGAAACAGTCGTTATTTCCAGATCATACAGTTTACACTCAGGAAATTCGAATGCATATACAGATAAATTCTTAAAATTATTGAGGCAATTTGGTAATGTTGCTAGATATAAATTCAATAATAAAAATGAACTATATTCTGATTTACCAGAAAAAATAATAAGAAAATGAGATTTGGAAAAACAACCCTTCACAATTACATCAGGAACTCCGGAGTGTGTAAGAATAAGTTCCACAAAAGATGTGCAAGCCCCCTAAATGATGACACCCCACTGGCTGCCATTAAGGAGGCCTATGTAAAAACCAATGGAACAGTTTCTTCCATAAATGGATGTGGTGGGAGAACAGGGAAGGCGGGTGTCTTATCGAAAGGGCCTGAAGGGACAAGCCAGCCGTATGCAACGCTGGGAACTTCTGTGGGTCCTGATTCAAGCAAACGGCTGTAAGACACTTTTCAGACAATGTGGGGAAGTGAACTCAAATCGGTATGAGATTTTCCTAAGAAATGAATGTGAGCTTTGTTGGGGTTGATAATGATTTTATGTTTATGCTAAAAATGAGTCTTTCTCTGTTTGTTGTATATGAAAGTATTCACAGGTAAAATATTGTACCTAGGATTTTCTTTTTAAAAAATCAATCAGAACAAAAGTGGGGCTAAAATCAAAGTGTCGGCAGGGCTGCCTTCCTCTCTGGGGTCTCGAAGGGAAAATCCATTTTCTCGAGTTTCCCAGTTCCTAGAGGTCACCCACACTGCTTGGCTCAGGTCTCATGTCACTGTCAGTAACATGTGAGTGACAGCAGTGTCAGGTAGCGCCGTCCTCAGGCAGCCACCCTTTTGGTCCTGGCTTCTTTCTGCCTTCCCTCTTCCTCTTAAAAGAACCTTGTGGCTGCGCTGGGCACACCGGGAAAACCCTAGGTTACGCCTCGCCATGTAACCTGGTGTATTGCAGGTTCCAAGGGTTAGGACACAACGCCAGTACTCCGCCTACAACAGCTTCCGACTCAGTTCCTCTCCTAGATGTGGACCCCAGACTCTCAGATGTTGTCTTGCTTCCCTGGGGGCTGCTGTAACAAAGCACCACACGCTGGGTGTCTTAGCACAACAGCAATGTGTTCTCTCACGGTTCTGGGGGTCAGAAATCTGAAATCAAGGTGCTGCCAGGCCCGCGCCCCCTGGGCGGGTGAGGGAAGGTCTCTTCCGGCTCCCTCCCCTAGGTAGTGCCCTGGCTGTGGCAGCCTGACTCCAGCCTTCGTGTGGCACTCTCTATGTGCATGTCTGTGTCCAAGTTTCTCCTTTTTATAGGGACACCTGTCATACTGGATTAGGGACCACTCTACTCCAGTGTGACCTCATCTTCACTCATTACATCCCCAGTGACCCCATTTATAAACGAGGACACTTTCTGAGATGCTGGGGGTTAGGAGATTCAATATAGAATGTTTCTGAGGAGACATAATCCAGCTCATAGCCTGTGTGTGGGCTGAGGTCAGAGCTGGATGTCACAGCCTGTGTGAGGTTGAAAGGCACCCATGCAGGGTGGTCCAGTGCAGGGTATCAGAGCCCAGGCGGTGCCTGGGAGGGATGGCATAGTCACATAGTCTCAAAGTATCTTTCAACAAAATACTTATTAATTACAAGAGGAAACAGTGACGTCCCTGTGGAGGCTGCAGATGAATTTGCACCAGGCGGCCAAAGCAAACGTCATCAGTAAGGTGACAAATGGAACGCGCAGGAAGTGAGCACACAGCCTCACTTCTATGACTCTCCTCCAAAGATGCGTAAGGGGAACCCAATCATAAGGAAACCCACATGGAGGGGCTTTCTATAAAAGTCGTAATTGGCCTATGACCTTCAAAGGTGTCAGGGTCATGAGAGCCAAGGAGAGCAGAGGAAAGTTCTGGACAGAAGGAGCCTAAGGCAACACGAGGACAGCTGAGTGCAATGTGTGGTCCCAGACTCGGTCCTTTGGCTTTTGTGACTTTATGGGACAAACTGGCAAAGCATGCTTGACTGGCACTGAGGATCAGACGTATCGACATGTCCACGTCACTCCACTGACTTCGATGGTCATTCTGTTGGAGAATGTCTTAGTGGGCAGGAAATACACTCCATGATGGTGTCATGGAGGCAACTTATCCTCAAACGCTTCAGGAAAAGACGTGTGTGTGTGTGTGTGTGTGTGTGTGTGTGTGCGCTTGCAACTTTTATGTAAATTTGGGATTGTTTCAAAAATTTAAAAAATAATGTATATATTATAGTATCACTCCATTTATATAAAGTTTTAAAACAGGTGAAACTTAATTATATTGTTTAGGGATGCACACATAGGTGGTAGAACTAAAGAAAAACAAGGAAACTAGATGCACAAAAGTCAGCCTATGGGGGACGGCCGGCTAGCTCAGGTGGTTAGAGCGCAGACTCATAACACCAAAGTTGCCAGTTCGATTCCCACATGGGCCAGGAGCTGCACCCTCCACAACTAGATTGAAGACAACGACTTGACTTGGAGCTGAGGGGTCCTGGAAAAACACACTGTTCCCCAGTAAAATTTCTTTAAAAAAACCAGCCTATGGTGTGGGGCACAGGTCTGTGTGTGGCAATGATGGTGGGGGTTGACTTTTGGGGTGCTGACAAAGTTCTGCTTCTTGACTGGGGTAGTGGCTACTGTGTTCCACTCACCGCCAACCCTTACACGGCACATGTGAACTCACACCCCGTCTGTGTGTATGAGGAGCTATGAGGTGCCCTTTTGAACTGGGTGCCAGAGCAGGCCCGCTCACTACCCAGCTCAGAGCAGATGTTCAAGCAGGTGTTTATGCTAGATACATAAAGGTGAGAAGATAAAAGGAGTCGTTTTCGGAAAACAAAGTAATAAAGTCCTACCCACTTCCCCAAACAGGTATCCATTTAAAAGCCAAATTGGGGTGACTTTGGAACTATGAATGAAACAGGGCCTGGTTGGCGCCCCCACAGTAGGGGCCTCTCCAGGTCCCCAGACTCACTGTTCCTTGACCTACAGGTTAAGGACAGATCATCCCCTGCGGTTTGAGCTCAGACTGTCCCCTGTCCCATCCAGTTCCCTGTTTTAGAAAATTACCCTGAAACTTATGATTAATACCCCCATGCTTACTGACCACAATCTCTATGGCCTAGCATTCTTTCCAGGTTAGTGTCGTCTATGCTCCTGGGTTGACGGCCACCGGGGAGCCACATCGCCAGAGGGAAGGCTCCATGCAGACCCCCAGAACCATCACGTGGCCTCTGGAGGAACGCCCAGATTGTCCCTTAAATGCCCGGCAGGCTGGTCTGAGAATGTTAAGGCAGTTTTTGGAGGTGTTAACTCGCTGCCTTCGCAGACCGCTAGTACTTTAATGATAAACGCTTATTCTAAATAGCCCAACCCCTGGGCGGGTCTACTGGCTGCGCTGCGCGGGCCGCAGGAGCCCCCAGCTCGTCGGCCTCCGGTTTCACGAACAGTGCCCTTCCTTTCACCTGCCCAGACACCCGGTCTTACCAGCTGGCTCAGCCTTCAGTTTTGGACGTGACAGCATCGCGGCAGAGCCCTGCGCCCCCGACTCCCGGAAACCAGCCCCCCCCCGCCCCCCAGATCCGCATTAGCCGTTACGTCTCAGGCAGAACTTCCATGGTGAGGGCGCAGGTCCGTGCCTGGGGGGCGCCAAGGCCCGCGAGCCCAGCCCCAGGCTCCGGGACAAACGGACCCACCTGTGGGCGGACCGGCCTGGGGTCCGAGCGGCGTGGGCTGCGAGCGGAGACCCCCTGGGCGGCGGCCCCTCACGAAAAAACCCCTCCGGGGAGCACCGGTGGGCCCTCGCCGTGGCTGTCCCCGGCCGCGAGCCGCAAGGTTTGCGCGGGCAGCTCCATGGCAACGGGCGTCTCCTTCGCGAGGGGGGCGGGTGCTCGCGCGGCTCCGCGTGGGCTCGGGCGCGAGGGGGCGCCCCGCGCGCAGGCGCAGTGTGGCCGAGCGGGCGCCTGAGCGCCTGGAACGCTGCGCTTGGGTCGCCGCCCGGGACCCCCCGGCAGAGGCGGAGGGTCTCGGCTGCCGGGGCCACCAAGCTGTCGAGGAGGAGCCTGGCGCTGCTCCGTGGGCCCGACGCTGCGCCCGACCGCCTCCCTGGTTTGGCCCGAACCTGCTGAAGTTCAGCTCAGCTGCCAACTTACAAAACAGCAGAGTTCACGTAGAACCGGGGTCCCACCCTTCTCTTTCTAACATGGGAGACCTAGCGCGATATGCCGAACTGCGCTGGAGCTGACCTGGGCTCCCCCACACCTTCCCCAGGCCTCACCCGCCGGCCCTCGGTCTGTGGCCTGCCTGCGGGCGCGTGAGGAGGGTCCCTGTCACCAGCCCACTCAGTGCGGGACGGGGCGCAAGAGGGAGTCGGGCGTGTCCCCTGCCCTTGCAGAGCCCAGTGCCCGGCAGTGCCCTGCCTGCGTGTGACTCGCGAGGCGGCTGGCGCTGGGGCCACTCGCTGGCTCTGACCAGTGGTTCCTGATGGCACAGCGAGGCATGAAATCCTTTCGTTTTATCCTGGGACGGTCACCCATCAGAGCCATTCAGCCTCGCAAACAGCACCTGGCCTGTGAGAACTGTGGGCGTTAGCCAGATGACACCATGTCACGGCTGTCCTCGTCGCCCGTGGGTGGTGCCCAGGTCTTTTCCCTTCTCAGAATTCTGGACTCGATGGGCAGAACTGAGTCGCCACTTGAACCCATGATCGTTTTTCTGGGAGAAATTATACTCCTGTTCCCCTCCCCACCCAAATTATGGGGCTTCCTTCTTAGCACTCCTGCTTCTCTGGGCTTTTCCATGTGAATGACTTATGCGCTTTCTTCTAAAGAAGGGAAGGGCAGCAGAAGACGGAGAACAGCCCTGTGTCCCCCGGTAGGAGCTGGTAGAGGAAGCTGTGGCAGCCACACCGTGGGGCACAGCTGTGGAAGGCATTCTGCGGTCAAGTTAGGGGAAGACAATAAAAACGCAGAACGGCGTGTATGGTGTTTTACCTGAGAAGGGACAGGTGTAATAAGACTATACACGCATATTTTCTTACATGAAAAGGTAACAGAAAAATGCTTATCAACCAGGGCCAGGAGGGCCAGGAGGACTTTCTCTAAATGTACATGTACGCTTGGCTAGGGAACTGTGTCATTATAAAACCCAATATAAGTCATAGCAGAAAAAATAATTTCTAAAAATCAGAAACCAAATGAAACAAATGAACCTAACTGTATGTCAGGTTGGTGGCTTAACCATACAGAAAAAGATAGTTTCAAGTGACTTTGAAACTCAACAATTTGATGATACACACCTAGTAGACTATATCCTAAGGACAAAAAGAACTGCAAAGAAACCTTAAATTTGCAGTACTCCTGGTCTTATTAATGCTATCGATACTGCTATTCTAGAATTATTATATAAAGCAGGATAAAGCAAATAAGTAGTATGGTAATATTAGTAATCAAAATGTTCAGCTTGAGAGAAGACATACAAGTATAAAATAAGAATTGAAAAACTTGGGGCCGGCCGAGTGGCACGATGGTTAAGAACTCGCTTGGGATGCCAGAGGGCCCCGGTTCAGATCCCACATATGAGGGCCAGTGACACTGCCCTCTACAGCTAAGATGCTGAA